CATTAAGGTTATAGCTTGCCCTATTTCTTTCTGTTCAGAATGTTCCAAATGTGCTGCACATGTGGTTGATCCATCTAGGTAGAGAAGCTCAAAATTCTAACAGATTAGTTCACCTGAACTCTTTGCTGCTTTTATCACAAGAGGGCTTGGGCATGGCCATGAGAGAAAGTTCAGCCCGAGGCACTTGAATGGAGTCCCATCTTGCAGCTTCGTACCTTCTCCTTGCACTCTGTGGGAAGTGGGCTGTGAAAGACTTAACAAAATAGAGGTAAAAGAACAAGACAAGTGTGGCACATCTTCATTAAGTGAACTGATACAGTCTCAGTAGAGCATTTTACTGTTAGTCCTAGTCTCCTGAGTTGCACTTTACATTACAAGGTTGTCGGTGATGATGATGACTAAATAACAAAGCGCTCCCTTGCCAGCAGTAGTAAGAAATATCATGTCTCCTTTTCCAAGTGTTGTTATGATAAGAAAAAGTTATTTCCTATCATCTTTGATAGGTTTTTACAAGTTCTCATGAAATATTTTACTCAACTGGAAACCAGACACCCAGTATTTAAGTTGCCCAAACCAAACCCTCTTCTTTTATTTATAAGAAAGGTTTGGGTTTTCATTCCACTTTTATGGTAATTATTTTAAAAAGTATCAAACGACAATTTATTGTGGACACTCCTAAACTTTGTTGTCTTAGTTATCATGAGTAGTAGAGGTGCCAACCTCTGCTTTCCCTTCAGAGTTCTGATTTTTTTGGCTGTTTTCAGGAGAATATGAAAATAGTGATGAAAGCAGAAATTCACGTGGAAAAATTTCTCTTTGAGAAAAACAGCCTCTTAATCATCAAAATGTTTTTGGTGAAACATTTCAAAGTACTCACATGCACATAACTCCAAGTGAAACCATCTGTCAGCGTCTGCTGCTTTCCAACTGCACCATGTGGCATAGGTTAGTCTGGTGGCCAATGTTGGCTACTGAGATTTTGTGCAAACAGAGATAGTACTGGTTTTTCATATATGTGTAAAACCAGCCTATAATTGTGCACAGCTACCTGTTTCCTTCTGTTTATTCTCATGATTTCTGTGCAATGAATTACCTGAATCATAGACTGTTAGGGACTGCCTTTATTCAATTGCACAGAGCTAAAAAAATCTGTGGCTTTCACTGCTGCTTGGGGACTCTGTTGGGTGAAATACTAGACATAAGAACAGCAGTACTCAGGTGTTTTCTCTATTCAATGCATATTGCTCATGGTATAAAGAAAACAGAACTTAATGTGTTCCCTCTGACACGATCATGAATTATTAGGTTTTTTACTTCTACCTGCATTGCCTGCAAGAAGGTGTTATAATTTAGAAGAAAGTAGCACTTTGAGCAGGATAGACATGCCTCCTACTTCTTTATTTTCTTTATACTCCAGCCCCGTCCCCCCCTCCCCACTAATGTATTATGTGGGCTTTAGGGATGAGACAAATTACTCTGTGTTGGCAACAAGAGCAATATAAATGAAACTTAGCTGTGCAGGTCACTGCATAGTCTGATAGTGAGAGCACTTGTTAGTGGGGAAGGAATGCTACTGCATGTTTGGCATCCTGCTTCCAGGGCTCCTTCAGTGGTTTCATGCTGTCACTGTGTATAAAAATAAAGAGCGAGCCCTGCAGACAAGAAACACAAGCAGTGCTCCCAATTCTGGATAAGTGCCATAAGCAATAGGCTCTAGACTCATGTTTCTGCTTATGCTCTCTTTCTGACTCACTAAATGCAAATTCTTGTTTTCTGCCTGTGACACAGCTTCAAGGAATAGCTCTCTCCCTTGGTATCCTAATGGATGGGAAGTGGAAGGAGAGGAATGAATACCTCAGTAGGCAGCAGGAGAGGAAATTGAACCTTATTTCTCTGTGGTTGTGGTGGGTGTCTTTACCAGAGTAATCCATAGAAAGACTAATTACTTTTTTATGTGTAACCGTACCTATGGTGGATATACGCATGTGTACTATCATCTTTGGCAAATACTGTGGCCACTGTACTATTTTGTGGGACTCCAGACCTGTCTACTAGATTTATTCAGAACCTGATTGGCAGATATCAAGGAGGTGCACGTGAAGGCAAACTTTGTATCTGATCCAGTTTAGGGATGAACTGAATAATAAGCCTTTTAACTTGGGTCTGTTGGCAAAGTGCAGTGGTTGTGTTCATTTATGTTGTGGTACTGTGTCTTTTAGGCATTTACATGGCTCTGAAAATTTCTCTGAAGGGCCAGTTTAAGAAGGGACACATACTAAATAGTTTCATTCATACCTGTGCTGCAGCATTCATATCTGTGCTTCAGGCTTTGTCTTTCAGATAGCTCTCGATATTTCAGTGCTACATAAAATGCCTAAGGGCATTCATCTCTTACAGTGAACCAGGAGTTTGAAGGGAATCTCCTGAATACCTACTCTGGGCAAACCCTATGCTCCCTACACCAGCACATTCATATGTGCCTGGGGAAGAAGCCAGGCAGTAGCATTGTGGATGCTAGTGAGCCATTAGAATTTTCTATCAGGTTAACCAGGCTTATTGTGACCAGCAGTCTTCCCAGACAGTTCACCCATAGCCAGGGATCATTTGGAGTAGTAGGTATATTGTTTGCACACAGCTACCCTGTTTCAGAGCCAAGGAGGTTTTAGTGGAGGCAATCCTAAGCCATCTGGCTTCAGTGCTGGGAGTGTGATGGGACACAAGTTACTGGTGCAGGTGAAGACCTAGGCTACACGAGAGTTTCAGTGACTGTCACGTCAGAGATGGCTGCTAAGCAAATTCTAGTCTGATTTGACAGCTCCAACCTCAGCTCACTAGGCAACATCAGGACTCCAGGGTGAAGACACATTGTCTCTGAAAAATGGTGAATTTTTTAGCAATTTAGCTGACCCTAGATCTCTACTTGTAGTGGTGGGAATGAAACAGGCTCTGGCTCTGGTCATGGATGTCATAAATGTTTTCTTATGTGATACAGGACAGGACTCTTAGTATGTTGTTGTTAGACCATAAACTGTAAGTTCTGCCTGTGCCAAAGAGTTTTCAAAACTCTTTATTTACCATCTTGCACGTGAGATTTGGGGCACCCTTGTACTGTACTGGGTGATGTATCCTGTGGTTTAAGGAAGTTGCAGGCAAGGTTATTCCCAAATGTGGGGTCACCTGAGAGAGCTCACTAGAGAGTGGTAGGAAAAGCAAATGGTTCTGAGGTGTCCCTTGTGAAGTCCCAACTAGACCATTATTGTGATGCTCGTGAGTCTACTAGAAGGTGAAGACATTCACCTGACATTCTCGTGTGGTCTGAGATTCTCCCTTACCTATGACATAAAAAGGATAAGAATTTCTGTTAAGATAGGAACATCTTATGTGGCCAAGAGGATAATATCACATTAACATTGTCTGCTGCATAATAATTTTTCATTTATGTATACTGGGCCAGATGTTTAGCTGATAAAAGTCACTTCACTGATTGCAGAGCAGCTGCACCGACTTGATGATTCACCTTTCGTTCATTTCATTGTTTAGATTTATCATATTTATTAACCTCAGCAGAGAGAATATGGTTTTCAAGTGTGGTTAAGGGAGGATTTTTGTACAGAAAAGATGGATTCTGCTCTCAGTGACACCTAGCCCCATCTTGGAGGTAAAGATTGAATCTGGTCATTATGTGTTAAATGAAATGGTTTATGTAAAATACCACATATGATAATACTTTAGTTGGTATTCATAGAGCCATGCTTCCTCCATCTGTCTAAGTTATAAATATTTTAAATGCATATTTTGGTAAATTTTAGGGTTTGTAACAATGTAGTAAAATCAACTAGATGCTAATAAATTCTAGCAAGCACAGAAACTCAGTTATTTCTCTGTAGGATTCTTTTTAGTTGCTTAGGAATGTCTTGCTGCAGCTGCAAAAATAGTGAACAAAGTTTAGACTTCAACAAATGTGATGCTGAGAAAGTTGATTTTGTATATTTAGAACAATAGACTGTATTGTCAAAAATGAGTAGCAAATGTGTTTGCAGAAGAATTTTTATCTGGATTTTTTTATCCCTTTTTTGTCTAATGTTTAGAAATGCAAAATTACCTAAGAACCACATGCTGATGCAAGGGTGAGGGTTGATGCTTCATAGCTTCCTCCTTTTCCACAGCTCTCTAAATCCAGACCCAAAATGCCATGAGGACAGTGGGAAGAGAGCTATTAGGTTGCCACCATTTCTTTCTGATTTATAGTTGCCCGAAGTAACCTACCAGCTTTTGGTAGAGCACAGATAGCTCACTTGGCTGTTGGTTTTGAAGCAGCTTGCTCTGAGGTCTTTTAACATTTTCTCCAGCCTTTCACTCCCTGAGTCTATGTCTGTGCCTCAGGTAGTGAGGAGATCCCAGCAGTCTTCCCTAATTCCTACATTTAGGAACTCCTGGGATCATACCCAGTACCACATTTGGTACTCTTCTGAGCCTGCTCTGCTCTTTTGGGCCTTTAGGAACAGATTGAGGAACTTGCAATCAAGTGTAGTTGAGACTAAATCTAAAAAAACAAAGATATGGGGCAGAGAAGGAGCATGATGACATTTTAGTAACAACAGCAAGGTTTCAATAGCTTTGCTCAATCTAGGTGAGCTTCTGTTTAAGACAAATTTTTAATTAAATGAAATTTGTCAAGTCTTGGAGTTTCCAGAATACAAGAATAAAATAAAATTTTTCTATATTTTATTTGTAGAAGTATTTTTGTACTATATGTGGTTTTACAAATATTTTATTGAAGTTTTTTCAAAGTGCTTTTTTATTAGAAGAACTGTATGTTGACTAGTAGCTGTCTTCAGATGTCAGTGTCCTGACAATGCTGACAAAGGCTACAACCAGGAACTACAGTTTCAGAATTTTGCTATACTGTTCTCTGGTGAAAGCTGGTGCAAAAAAGAAAATGTCAAGTGTTTTCACCCATAATTAAAAAGTGGATGTTCTGTTTATGTGTTTTCTTACAGCTGGCAGCATTAGAGAGGCAGATCTTTGACTTCCTTGGTTTCCAATGGGCTCCTATCCTTGGCAATTTCCTACAAATAATAGTTGTCATTTTGGGTTTGTTTGGAACCATCCAATTTAGGCCTCGTTATATAGTTGTGGTAAGTCTCATTTATTATCTTTTTTTTTTCTTTTTTGCAGTTGGTTTTAAAACCTGTCATATTACAAAACAGAATTTTCTTGGTGTCAAAACACCAGATGGTATTTCTGTAAAAACTGTAGAGGTCTCCATGTCTTTTTGCAAATTTAGGACTACTGACTGGATTTTCTGAGGTTTTGGAAGTTATCAAGAATAGGAAACTTGGAGAAAATGCTGTCAAAATTATAACCATGATGCAAGTCAATTAGACTATGCATAAGTGAAGAAACGAAATACCAATTGTTGTTATTTCTGCAGTAGACAAGCAGAATCAATGGTGATTAAAAAAATATTTGTAATGGCCAAGTTATATTTAGTTACATCTCTTTAACGGGGAGAAGCAAGGATGGTAGAAATTTCCTTGGTCCTGTGACCCACAGGTTCCAAAGAAATCTCCTTCACACTTACATGTAACTTTGTCAAGACCTGTATTTATGACCTTGACCCTAAATTATCGTAAATTGTCTCTGATGCTTCACAGTTGTTTTTTCCCATGTTCTCAACATAACAGGAATAAAAAGAATTTTCAAAGCCATGAAGTAAATTACCAACAAAAAAATACCCCTGTTCCTTCCCCCACACTCCCTCATGAATGGATAAATATTATGTTTTACCTGGTATTGCTTGTATCTGGAACATCTTGGTTGTGTTGTCAGTAATGGATTTTAACAGGCTGAAGTTATCTTTGTTTTTTTCTCACAAAAGAGTGAAATACATGTCTACTGGGGAATACTAATTAAACAAATACTTAAAAAGCTTCATCTTTTCTAGTCAAGCCTGGAATATTATAATTCTTTGTCGTGTCTTAAAAGAGAAGGTAAACAAAACCTGTACCCAAGGTTACACTCACATTAGCTAAGCTTACAAGCAGACTGTAACAAATTGAAAATGGATTGATATAAATAATAACACTTTTATCTATTATCTGTGGTTGGAGAACTGGGCATCCATATATTGATGACTCACCTTTGTACTTCATGCTCTCCATTTTATACATAAGAAGCAAGTGAGGGTAAGCATCTGAAAAATTAAGTAGGAAATTTGTGTCTGAAGTGCAACTTTACAAGATTTCTTACCCCTCAGGTTCAGCACTGCTATTCAGTAATGCAAGCTCTGCTTTAATTTCCAAAGAAATGCAACATATGTTGACTGTTTCTATATCTTTTCCAATGTAAATTAACATTTTAGACTATATTAAAGGGGTTTTTTTTAAGTAGAGGTATAGAACTCATAATTAAAGAAAGAAACACCTCATCAGCAAGACACTTTATCCTAAGATTTAACTGAACTCATGCTCTGATTTATCTTTAAACATATATTTAAGAGCTCAAGCTACAGTACATGCAAATACTCATTATTTGGGAAGATCAAGGCTTTAGAGCAGCTTCTATCCTTACTAACACAAGGTTCCCAGTGAAGTAGTAGTAGTTTGAGCTAAATCCTGAAGTCTGAAGAGTGAAGGTACACAGGTTGTCTGGAACCAGCTTCACAGCTCAAGACCAGCAGAAGGGGGTGGCTTGCATTTCTCCCTGTTCTCACTGTTCTTTTCCCTGGCTGAATACTTTTCCATATCCTCCCCACCAATTCTGACAGCAGTTAACTGGACCCTTCAGTAAGCCGTTTCCAATCCTAATCTATCAGAAAACCAACCTAGTAAAAAGTGGGAGACTTTTATACTAAACTGGTGAGCTGAACCCAGTCTGTGAGGTTCCCAACGATTGGCAGGGCCAGCACAAGGGAGGGACTGGGACTGCACGGTCATGAACAGCAGTGTGGAGGTGGAGGGGAAAGGAGGAACTGCAAGACTTCAGCTGTTGCTAGCTACAAACTTGTCAGTTCAGTGTCTTGTGTAGCTTCACCCTCGGGCTGAATTCAGTTGATTCTCAAGCCAGCATAAGCAATAGTCCCTTAGCTCAGCTGCTCCTTCAGTCCCTGTGCTGTTCCTTCATTTTCACCAGTACAAGCATCAATTCAACACTTTGGTAAACTGTCAAACCAGAATAGATCCAGCTGAAAAGCAACGGTTTTCTTTACTGGTGTTAAGTGTAGGTCAGCTCTCTGGCATGTTTTGCTTTTTCCATCAGAAGGGAAGAGGTGCTAGAGGGGAAACAGGAACAAGTAGCTAAAGAAAGGAGAGAAGTGCATGGAGTCTTTCTACAGCACTGCAGGGTTACAACAGCTCAAAGTTGAGGTATAGCCTGAAGATCTTCCAGGCTATACCCATCTCTTGCTCCTCAGAAAGTGTGCTTCCTAGGGCTGTCCCAACCACAGCAGTGCTTTGCCCACTGTCCCCAGAAGCCCCAGAAAGAGTCAGTGGTACAGACAGTGAAGACCCTTACCAGTGCCAGCTCCAGGCTGTCTTCACTAAGGCAAAAGGGAATCTGAAAGGAACTCTCCCAAGGAAGGGCATAGCTTACCTTTCTCCTTCTGAAACTCTTTGAAAACACTTGTTACAGCAGTAAACTTCTATTGCTGACTTCAAATATAAAGTCTGTTTAATGTAAATCTTCAGAAGAGTCCTGAATTTCAATATTAAACACAACACAGAGAGACTCCTACCCAGGCTCTCACTAGTGAATTAGGCACCAAATTAACTGAGAAGCTTCATGGGTTTCCAAGTCCATAGCTGCACCTTCAGCCATGTCTAAGCCCCTGGATAGGTAAGTTGTTGGTTTCCTGAGAATTTGGTCTTTGGCAGAAGTAATAGGCTGAGTAATGCTTTTATGTACTCTGGTTGCTGAACCTTCTGATTTAGATTAAGCTGAATCCAATTTCACTGGAAAAGTAAGCAATTACTTCAAGAAAACTATGCTTAGTATCCATTTCTTTTCCTTAAGACTTCCCTGGAAGTCAACTTTACTAGCGCAGATGATCCCATCAGAATAAAAAAACTGAAGTAAAGTGGGAATCATGTCAGATAAAACAGTTTACTTCTGTAAGCTGTCTATGCAAAATTGATCTGGCACACGTGAGCACAAATTGTCCCCATGATATTCTGTCATACTCTGGTGGTGATCTTGACTTAAGCTGACCAGCTCTAGGGTCATTGGTTTAATCACAAAAGAATGTTTTTAATCTATCTTCTGTGCAATGACAGCTGTGCCTGAAGGTTTCCCTGACAAGAGAAGTTACACAAAAGCTTTCACTTTGCCATCCTATGCTGCCTATGTCATGTTCTCTCTCCTCAAATTTTAGCATATGTAAGGAATGAGAAAGTAAGTGAACAAATGTAATACATCTAATACAATAACTTGAAGCACATCTATACTGCAGTCAAATATGAGACTAGGTCTGCAAGCACAGTTGAGCAGGCTTCTGTTGCACGTACGTAGAGCCAAGGAATTCAGTGAGGGCTGTAATAAAAACTGATAACCACAATAGCAGTTGCATGCTTCTAACACCTCTTCTACTGCCATGGAACTGAAGCTACTTACTGTATCACTGGCATTTGATGACTACATAAGCTGCAGTCATTTCTTTGACAGCAGCATAAGCATAGCCACTGTAGATTAAAAGTCTGAAGAAAGACATTGGTTTGAGTGATATAAAATTTGTCATGAGAGCTTTCTACCAAAAAAAATGCCCCACTATATAAGAGCTGTCATACAATAGCTGATTCATGAGGCATCTCCATTGAATATAATTGTGATTCAAAGTAGGTAAAGGTAGTGACTCATGTTGTCTATCTACAGTCTTTCAGATACATGGGTGGTAATTCTGAAATAAATCTGGAATTTCACTTGCTCATAGCTAAAATTCCAAGTCCTCAGAGCTTAGGAAACAGAGAAAGAGGGAGCAGAAGCATTGACTCCCAGTGTCCTAATTAGTTTAAATCCAATAATTATTTCTAATATGTTTTGTATTAATTAGTAATTTAGATAAATTTTGTGAACAATTTGTTCTGTCACTAAGAGAATGTGCTATTTTCAGTATTTGAATATTTTTTGACTGAATTAAATCAGTGCAAAGTTCCCAGGGGACATAAGAGTGCAGAGCTGATTCCTAATTTTCCCGTATTAGCTCATTTGAAACTTACTCAAACATTTGTAAAGAAGAAAAAACCAGCTAAATCTCAGCTCTAACTGTACCGTTACACTTGTGTCATGAAGCTCCAGAGTTCTGCTGTGATCCATTTCCCTATGCATGCTTTTCCTTTCTTAATAGAACTTGCTGTCAGCAGCAAGATTTCCAGGCTGTTAAAACTGATTAAAGATGATGACAGGATACTTGTTAAAGTTGGGGATTTCCCCCCTCTCCTACTTCTGATATGGGACTTCAAAAGGCTCCTGAATGATGAGTCACGTAGTTAAAATTTTACAAACCAGGCCCAAAGCTGAACGAAAATGTGTTAATGAAACAGTGAAGGATGAAACTAATACACTTAGATAGGCGGAATATAAGGTGGAAATCTCTGCTTTACTTGCCTTAATGTATTCCAATAAATAATATAATATGATATATAGGCAACGTGTACAGTTGAAAAGCCAGGAGAGACTTTCTTAAAAAAACATAAACCAAAAACCAGAAAAGCAGGAGAAATACTGTACAGGATACTTTGCACTGTGCTCAACAAATGTTATACAGACAGTGAAAACACATATGAAATATTTAGGCTTCCAAAATTACTCCTTGAATATCCTTCCTGGTAGGTTCTGTGTTGTAACTGCTCTATCAGGTTGACTTATGCCACTTGCCAGTACTTGTAAGGCTCTGCAAGTACTGATGCCTCTGAGGCACAGCCAGGTATTACAGAGGGATGATCTGAGTTGCTCCTTTCCCTTGAAGTATCCCTGAGTCAACTGCATTCTCCCTAGTGCCTTCTGCCTTGTCAGAGTAGTTGGCACACTTCAGATTTAAATATACACTTGAGATACCTCATTACAGCTAAACTTATCCCTCAATCCTTGTAATAGTCAAACTTAGAAAATTCCCTTTTTTCTTTTACCTTTCAATTTAAGAAGC